CAGGACAGTGGCTTGGACACTCACCAGACTCCACCCACCCTCTTTCCCGCTGGTGTATAGTCTCTGGATGTTGGACTTGGGGTGGAAACCTCTGTACATTGTGAGGAGCTTCCAGGTGTTCACATCAACAACCTCCATGTCCTCCTTTGGCCAATTCACTATACCAGCAGGGTACCTGATGACTGGCAGGGTGTATGTGTTGATGGCAGGGATCTTGTTCTTCCCACTGAGCTGGCTCTTCAGGACCTGTCTTATCCTTTAGTGATAGTTGGATGTTGCTGTCTTCCTTGCCTCCTCATCGTGGTTCCCATGTGACTGTGGGATACCAAGATACTTGTAGTTGGTCTGTATGTCTGCTATGTGGCCCGCTAGTAGTTCCACCCATCAGTCTTAACTACCTTCCCTCTCTTTACTACCATCTGGCCACACGTCTTCAGTCCCAATGACATCCCAGTGTCCTCACTGTAGATCCATGTCAGGTGAATCAGCAAGTCAGTGTTTCATTTACTCTAGCACACAGCTTGATGTCTTCCATGTAGAGGAGGTGGCTGATGGTAGTTGCACTCTTGAACTTATATCCGTATCTGTATGTATGTATGTATGTATGTGTATGAAATGAAGTCCTTAATTGGAAGAAAGTTGCCTGCCTGTATTAATTAGTTTAACATAAATATTTAGCAAATTGTAGAAGATTTATCAATTTGTTTTATGATGTTTAAAATTTTATGGAGAAGAAAACATTTCATTTTGTTTTCTATTTTCCAGCTTATGAATTACAGAATTGTCCAGATCCTCCTCCTTTTTATAATGGATATATAATCAATTCAGATTACAGTGTGGGCCAGTCTATCTCTTTTGAATGCTATCCTGGATATGTATTGATTGGTCACTCTGTTCTCACTTGCCATCATGGGATCAACAGGAACTGGAACTATCCTTTTCCAAAGTGTGAAGGTAACTTTTGTTCATGTTAAGATTGTTTAAATTCTAAGATTTTCTTATTGTTAATGTGTTCAAGAAGAAAGAAAAAGAAGAAAAGTAAAAAATAAAGTTGATATATCACAATCATGATCTGTTACAACCTTCATACCAGTTTCATTTGTAATCAGAATTGACAAGGAAATATATTTCTCTTCAAAACTGGGAAATAGCTGGTATAAGTCATACAGCATTCTGTCATGTCTCATGATAAATCACTACCCTTTCTTTCCCTGCACTCACGTATATACCTGTCACTTGCCACCCACATCTGTGCCTCTTGGAAATGTAGTTTTTCCTGGCCTGTGATGCTCATAAAACAACCAGAAGACACTTATAATCTTTGCAAGTTACATTTCCTAGAGCTACAAGTATCACTGCCATAGGCATGTTCCTGATGCTAGAGGAAAACAGAGAATGAAATCAGCAGAAGAATGGATTGAAGAAAGAGTACTTGATTTTAAGGCTTTTTGAAGGGTAGGAAGCATTTTTGGATGTGGATTTGGCAAGGAGGGAAGAATGAGTTTGGATTTTTAAAAATTATGAGTGATAACTTTTGTCTTTGTAGTGAAAACTGTTGTAAGCGGAAGAATTTGTTTGTCTTACCTGTCTATCATTGTATTAAATGTGGTACATAACTGCAATTCTTTTATTTCCTGAATGCCAGATTAATTCATCACATTTCTATCTTTTAAATCGGGGAGAGGGGACATTGGTTTGGAGGTATGAGAATAGGATAATAGGTATTTAAGCTCTACTGTTTTCTCAGGATATCTTTCCTTTAAGAGAGAAATAATAGAATGGGGGGAAGGAACAAAGGGACATTTGTACCCCACCCCACCCCCACCCCAAAAAAACCTGGCTCAGGGAGAAAATATACATACAATAGTATTCAGTGCATACAGTGCCTATTTCTAAGTCAACAATATGATTTTACAAACACTTTCTCAATAAATACTGAATTCCAAATTTCAGCTGTTGGTAAAGGGAATTGCAGGAAAGATTCAGTTCCCTTCTCCCCTTCTCCATTAAACAGCTGATCTGCAGGATGTCAATAGTTTTCAAATAGCTTCATTGCACATGCTTCTTTGTTTAGAACTATCTTCAATTAATTGCTTGCAATGATTATTTAGATATCCATAGTTCATGTTAATTGGTTGGCTGTTTGGTTCATGCACCTGCATATGTAAATTTAAAAATCTAAACTATGCTAATGTTCCCTTATTTATATTTTAAAATGTAGCTTCTAACTCACGCCTCTTATATTTTAGTTGATGTGCTCAGAATTTCCTCAAATTACTTTGAAATCTCACACATTATACATAGTGGAATAGAGTTAATTATTATATGCCATGCTTAGAATTAAAATTATTTGTACTAAATGCTATAATTAAAATAACTTTTTAACATTCATAAATGAAAATCCTTGGGGAAAAAAGCAAACTATAAAAATGACCACTTTGTCATGCAAAAAAGCCAGATGGGAACCTTCAAACTAAACTGTATCATGCTTAGATATCTACTTAAAACTAAACATATGAAATGATTTTTTGTTGTTGTTGTTGCCACCTGGCAGTGTTAATTATTTGCAATTAAAAAGCAGAGTACTTCCTTCAGTAAACCAGTTTACTGTAAATAATACATTTGCCAGGAGCGTATTTATTATAGAAGTTGGGAATACTGCCACACTGATCAATGAATGGCAAGATGCACATCTCAGATTTATTTAAAAAGAAACATGTATCTTACAGACTAAAATAATAAGTAGATACTACTCTAATGACGTTATGTAGCAACTGTGGCGTTATGTGGATCCTGACACATTTATCGTATTTGCTGAGATACGAAAAGCGGATGATGATTTTCAATACACTTCAAAGCATTCTGTTTGACTTGTAAAGTCCTACCCTGCCTAAGGCCAAGATATCTGAAGCAGCTGCAACAGCAGCTACTGCTATTTTATTTGATGCCAGCAGAGTGCAAGGAGAGACTAGGAAGTGGTGCAGTGATTTGTGCACTGCCAATAACGTCATTTATAACCAAAGATGCAGTCATTGACAGTGAATCGCAGAAGCTGCCACTGCTCTTCATTGCAATGGTGGGGTGGGGTGGGAGGAGCGTCACTTTCTTTGCTATATCATATGATTCGTGATTGATGTGAACAGTCTCTTATTCCTTTTCTGAGCTGTTCATACATTTGATGAGGTCCTTTCTCATAACTCGCACTTTTGCCAGTTAGAGAGATGGCCAGCAGGATCAAGGCATTCTTTATTACTGCCTGATTATGATATCCTGTCCTCAGAGTATCCACCTGATACTAGCACTGGGTGATTCACATCATTTTAATTCAAGTTCAGTTTCATATCTGATTACCCATGATTTTGTCCATTGCCTTTTGATACCAAGTGCTAAGCATATATGTATATGCAACAGTATTATCATGCATACATTTAGAAAAGCAGTATTATTTGCCAGGCACAAGACTGTTGTTGGCCAAAAAAAGAGAGGTGACAATTATAAGTGCAGAGAACTGCAATACATTCAAAGAACTAGAAAAACTAGAGGATCAGAGTATTTTTAATCTGCAAATTGGTTGTAGGTGGTGGATTTGATCATTTAATAAGGATAGAATTTCTAAAATGGGGAGGGATGAGGAAACCAATACTTCATGGGCTGAATACAGGCAACCCTGGTTGGCTTCCAGCCTCCCTTCGACCTACCTTATAGTACTTAGCTTAGTAAAAGCTAATTGCTCTGGGGACATAAATTTGACAGAATTGCAATGTGAAAAAAAATAGTACGGCCTGTAGTGGGATTAAGTTTTCATTTCCAACATCTTTATGATCCTTTTCAGCATTTTCCTCAGTATGGGAGGTAACAATTAAGAAAAAGATAGATAGATAGATAGATAGATAGATAGATAGATAGATAGATAGATAGATAGATAGATAGATAGATAGATAGAATTTCTGTCAAAGCATGTATATATTTTATTTGTGTGAATGACTGTGTGCATGTTACCTCTATGTGTTTAACAGTTCAGTACCAGAAAATGTAGCTCTTAAGGTAAAAAGAGATTTTCTGTGTCAACTTCAAAGCATCCCTACTCCATCATCCTGTCTTTTAATTGACCACTTGATCACTACTGAATTATTTTAAGATGCCAGTATAATATAGTTATGAACCAGATTATTCTGTTTAATTGCCTGTTATTATGAAAGATGATGTATTTTGTTACTCTCTCACTTTGGAGTGTGTGTGTGTGTGTGTGTGTGTATACACATACATATACACACATACACACAGAGAGAGATATACATACAGCTGGCTAGGATACACTGGTTTCTAAAAGACTAGACTGATATATGTTGTTATTCTTTCTTTTATCAGCCCCTTGTGGATATAATGTAACATCTCAAAATGGTACTGTATACTCACCAGGATTTCCAGATGAATACCCAAATTCAAAAGATTGTACTTGGCTTATAACTGTAGCCCAGGGTCATGGCATCTATATCAATTTCACCTTACTCCAAACAGAATTAGTGAATGACTACATTGCTGTATGGTATGTTAACAACTTATTACTGTAAAGCGTGATATTTGTTTGTGTATTTTTCCCATCTTTATGTGGCTAAATAGAAAAGTAAAAAATATGTGATGTGTAAGTGCAGTTCCTGTACAGCTGATTTTGTTTATTAGCAAGCTTCTCATTCTGCTTAGTAAGCCTGTTTTTCAACACAGAAATTTCCAAAGCTGCTTATGAGAAACCTAGTTTTATCTATATCTTTTATGGTTAACATAAAAACAGATATCATAGGGATTCAAGGAATGATACTTTATTGTTGCAGGATATAGCAATAGAATCTTGAAAGGCTGTCCATGTTTCTCACTGTCACATCTTATACTAGACAAATCAAGGCAACTGTAATGATGTTGAGTTAAGTACTTGTTCCTTCCTTCCCCTTAATGGCTCTCTTACAACTTCCCTAAAATCAGTTCTACAGTTGTCACAATAATCTAAAATCAAATGTATTAAAAATAAGAAGAAAATAAATAACTTCCTTAACTTTAGGAAGTCATATGTAAAGCATTCAATGGCAAAGGAGTTAACAGTTCAGAGCTGTTTAGATCAGAGATGGAATCTTAAATCAATTCCCCATAACAAACTATCGAAGAGAATATAAACCTAGGAGAGATTCAAGGTCTGAAGGATCTGCTACTCAAAGAGCCCAGTATATAATAAATGCACAATAAGTAGCTTTGCACAGATAGAAGAAACTTCAGAGATAGCAGTTATCAGAAGCAATTTTAATACATCTTTGAAGTAAATCAAAGATCTAGTTGTAGATTTTTGAATAAAAATTGTCTATACCTTAGGGGGGGGGGGAAAAAACTGAGTTCCTGAAGCAAAGGATTTCTCTTTTCTTCCCTGGAGTTTTCCAGATTCCTGTAAAGTTGCAACCTTTAATCAGGGGCTTAGGATCAATTTTCCTGGTCCAAGTATGTCTCCTTCCTTCTTTAATTTAGAAGAAAGAGAATATCTGTAGCTCAGGGTTGAACTGTGGAGTCCTTGGTGCTCTCTGAGCTTGATTGTTTGCTTGCAGATGTTTCAGTACCCAACTAGGTAACATCATCAGTGCGTAAACTCAGAAAGCATCAAGGACTCCACACTTCTTTAATTTCTCCAGAGATAATGCTTCCATTCTTCTTAAAGAAAAAGGCTTTTCTAGCCTAAATAGGGAGGGATTAGGAGGAATCTTTTCTTGCTTATGTGAGGAAGGACATGTGTACTTCTTGCTTGGGAAGTAGCTGACAGGCTGAAGTACCACAAAGGCTAGGTTGGTTTCACAGCATAAGCATTTTTCTATAGATATTAATGTAAAGAAAGAGTTGAAACAATTTCAGGACAGAACTGTGGGAAAAAAATTGTACTATACGTTACTTTCATAGCTTTCCCTATTTTTTTTTAAAGGTTACACTTTTCACAGTTAAGGATTGTTCTTAAATGTATTGATAGATTTGAATACAAATGAATCACTATGCTACAATTGTTTAGATTATCCTCTCTTCCTGAAGATTTAAAGCTACTATCAATATACAATACTGTTAGTGTAAAACTTAATTACAGCCTTTTGCTGAAACTGTTTTCTTTTTCTTGGTCCTTGGTCCTAGGGATGGCCCAGACCAAAATTCACCTCAGCTGGGAGTGTTCAGTGGGAATACAGCTCTTGAAACTGCTTACAGCTCTAGCAATCAAGTCCTTCTCAAGTTTCACAGTGATTTCTCCACTGGTGGATTCTTTGTTCTCAATTTTCATGGTCAGTATTTTTTCTCTCATCTAACAAATCGTGTATGTGTGTGAGAGATAAGGAGAGTCAGGCAATATGGGGTGATTTAAAAGAATATTTTCTTCCTACTTCCTAACCAATACATTAGATTGGTTCAATTGGCATGATATTTTAATTTAATGAAAACCTCTAGAGTATCAACCTTTATTATCTGCAGCAAAAGGAGAGTTAAATATTTAACATGTGTTACTTGGCCTTGAATATTTTAACGGAAAGCCCTAAGCACTTAACCCAGGCCACCCACTCCTAAGTAAGTCCTAAGGACTTGGGGGTATTAATGAAATACATTGATATTCTAATTTCCTGTCAAAAAAGCTTGAACTGCTCAGACATGGGACATTTTCTCATTTGAAGCTATAGAACAACATCATTTCTGGTTATATAGTCAGAAAAAATATACCCATATGGTAGGAAGTGGTTTCTAAAGAGACTGCTTGTGTTATTTAAGATGCTTTTTATTCATTTTCATTTTGTCATAGTCTTATTTCTGAGAAAGGACACTAATTTTAAGGAAAGTAGATAGACTTCTGGCTATATTGGTAGGGCAAGAAAGTAATAAAGGAGAGTGTCATGACATGTATATCTCTATACATGCACACACATATTCGCAGTAAGAAATTAAAGTTAACAAAATATTTTCTTTTGATTTGTGCAAAGGTATGCATATATGGACACAGTAATCCCAATATTTCACATGGGAATACAGACCCATATAGTCAGAAGCTTTAAATAACAGCTTTTTCACCTGATTTTTTTTTTCACTATGCCCATTTTGCTACAACTGTCATCTGGGTTTTAATATTCATACACCATCACACCTTTTCCTCAAAGATTCTTGGGCAGCATTCACCTTACAGTGAGGCTTCTCTTCAAACCAGTACTAATGCAATTTTGATTTGATTCTATAGCATATCAGCTTAAGAAGTGCCAGTCTCCTCCAGCAGTTCCACAAGCTGAATTGCTTGCAGAAGATGACGATTTTGAAATAGGTAACAATTGATGTCTGTGTCATTATATGTATATACTTATTCTCAATTCAAACTTCTATTTAACTGATATTATTAGTATATATGAAATGTTCTTTTTACTTAAAGTTGTAGTCACTGGTAAAATGTCCTTAATGTTGGAATATGTGTAGCTTATTCCTATTCACCTAAGTGTACTTGGGTAGAAGTGCTCCAATTTTTTTTAAAAAAAGAATGCTTAATGTTTTAAGTATTAAATTTCTTAAAATGACAGTTAGTAAATCTATATTAATTGTCAATTGAAATCTTTATGTCTGTTGTATTTCAGTTTTTTTGGCACAGAGCAGTGTAGAAATACAAGTATTATATAATCAAAAGTGGCAATTACTGAAGCTACAGGTGTAGATATATAGATATATAGTATATATTTATGTTGTTTGATTATTTCTAATACAGCTATACTTACAAGATGGATAATCCTCTTATGGTGACATATTTTTCATTCAAAAAAAGTTACTCCCAATCTAGATCCCCTGATAGTGGGTCATATTGGCTAGGAAAAAATCTTACAATGGCAAAATTGTAAAGCACATACCAGATGCAAAGAAAATGTTATAAAAAAGCAAGGAATGTATATAGAATAAACTGTTTCACAAAACAAATGCATTTCAGCAGGAAAATTGTAATTAAAAAGCAGAAGCCTGTAGTTAGCAATCAGTCTAGCATGTTTACAAGGCAATCCTTTAGTTAAAGTCTATAAATTGAAGCCAGGTTAATGATGAAATTTTAAATGTATTTATAAGTCTTGTTGAAAAAGCTTTGTTGAAGTCAGAGAACCTTGCTCCTGGATAAACATATTTCAGATTTAACTGCAAGTTAATTATACTAAAATCCCATTGAACTCAACCTGAAAAGTTATATCATGTGACAGGGCAAATCTGAGCCCTATTTATTCCAGTAGAAACAAACTGAATAAGTTATTCTGAACTAGCTTCATGTTCAACCTTGTGTTAAACACATACAGTCCTTGTAACACCAACTTTTAATATGGATCTCTATAAAAATTGCAATAGAGTAAGGTATGGACCATCGATGTAACTATGATCCAGTTCCATGAGGACATATTTTATTAGCCTAAAGAATCTTCCTTAATCTGCCTTTTAAAACTGTTGAGGGTAAGGTGTCAAAACATGTAGTAGTTAAATGGTGTAAGCCGATCAAGAAGCCTAGTTGGCTTAAAATTACTGAACTGATTCCGTAACTCAGCTTTTAATGGATTCCTGTATATTCAATCTGAGTTTCCATATACAGAATGTATGAGCATTGTCTTGGTGAGTCCATAACCCAGTCCCCAAAGCTACTCAGAAAATATGCATATTGTAGCTTGTCCTGTACTCCCAGCATACTAGGACAACTGATAATTTTCTGTTAAACTAAGCAGGACTAAACCATGTAGTTATGGTTTAGTTAAACATAACTAAACCATGTAGTTATTATGTTCAGTTAAACATAATGACCCAGACCCTTTTCTGGAATTTGGTTGATCCTGCTTTAGCATGGTATGCTGCATTTGACTTATTAGCCACTAAGAACATCTTCCTAAAAATTAGATTGAACAACATAAAATATAGTTAAATGAATTAATGGGTTTAATTTAATGTAAAGAAGATGCTTCAGAGCCTTGGATTAACTGCAACAAATGGCTTAATCACAGCAGGTACAGAATTGGCTCCTCTACTGTATAAAAGGGTAGGATAGTCACCAATATCCTCTTCTGGGCATTTGAGGACGCTTCAGATGTATGGGTATGATGCTTTCCTGTGCCTTGGAAAAGGACTCTTGATATTGTAAACTTGGCACCTGTTTAATGCTATGCCCATTGTTACTTCAGGTTAGCTGCTTTCTTTTTCCTTGCCTTTTGCAAAGGCCATGAACTTGGTTTTACAAATCTGTAGGAGGTGTTCCTCACAAAGAGAGCAAGATCCCTCATCATCCTCCTTAACCTCATTGGGGTCAATGATAGGACAAATACATCACCTAAATACAACTGAATTTTTGTGTGTTCATTCAATAACGTAGAAGGAGGATGTTCCATTGTGGCTAAATATACCATTGTAAGATAACACATAAATACTAAATAGTATTTAGTATAAGGATGAAGCTTTACTTTATTACTCTCTAATTGGTATCACTTCTGTCAGGAGTCAGTATACTAGCTAGTATTGATGTGTAATTTGTAGATGAGAGAAAGCAGATAGAAATCTGTTAAGTAGACCATAAGTTTCTCCCATAAATTGTCCTTAGTAATAGTCAAAAGTCTGCTTTTAAATATTGCAAATAGAGGCAATTTAGATACTGCTGTATATTTTTCTGTCAGATGTTATAGTACCAGGACTTGGTCCATTCTGGAGGAGCTGGCTCTAACTCCTGCAGTTTGACTGCAAGGATGTTCTACTCCATCCAGTCTAACAGCTTCTAGTACAAATGTCTTTGTACTTTAAAGACTGGATGATAACTAGCAAGTTCAACTTCGTTGCTCTTCTTAAAGATGGGAATAATGATCGGAAATCCCAAGACTTTAGGAATCTGAGTTGACCTAACCATGTAACTAAAAAGAGAGGCCAAACTTGGGGCTCACCAGTCTGACCTTGAGGGAATACCGTAATCTCCTGGTGTCTTTCCTACCCTACCTTCAGCAAATTATCTTATGTATTTCTGAAAATGAGACAGAATGCCCAATGAGAAAGTGATCATTTCCTCTTTTAAAGTGAAAGGATGAAAGTCTTATGTTGTATGAAAGCCACGAGAGTAGCTCCAGACAGCTATTCAGTTCAAGAGGGCACAGTATCACTACAGCTTATCTCCAGAAGGTGGCAGAGCAAGTTGATCTTGTAGCTCTTATTAATTGCTTCCATTCCCACGTGACACTGTGTGTTGGAACTGGCCTCTTAGACATAAACATCTTCTGATCATTTAGGTGAAAATTCCATAATCTCATGATTTTAATAGTACTTAAAATTCTTGTATCTGCTCTTAAAATTGTATTTTCATTGCAGTGGGAGATTGTTACATTGTAGTTGCTATTTTACTGCATCTTAATTGCTTCTGTGGTAACTGCATTGGGAGCACAGGAAAATCAGAAAGTATTTCTCTATACTGAATACTTGAGAGTCTGTGATCTTTAGTAGTTAAAGTGCTGGGACTAGGATCTGGGAGCCCCAAGTTCAAGTACACTATCAGTTACAGAAACTCACTGTGACTTTGGGTCAGTCACTTTTTTCAGCTCAACCTAGCTCACAAGGTTGCTGTTATGGGGAAAATGGTGGGGGGAGAGATATGTGCCTTAGAGCCTTAGTCATGAAAGCCAGGTGGGTGCCTTTGGGTCAGTCACTCTCTCTCAGCCCAACTCACCTCACAAAGATGTTCTGGGGAAAAAATAGGAGGCAGGAGTATTAGGTATACTTGCCACTTTGAGATAGATGATAGATAGATAGATAGATAGATAGATAGATAGATAGATAGATAGATAGATAGATAAAAATATAATAATAATTGTTATAATGATCTCTTAGAGGAAAGGTGAGATATAAATTT